AATCTGACGTGACATGTTCGTACGAACCCTTTGTACGAACAAAAGTAAGAGAAATTTAGGAGAAGAATACGAACATGTTCTTGCATGAGGCCCATTGTTCGACCCAGTAAACAGTTCTGAAGCAGCCCCGCTCCTCATCCCCTACTAAGGCAMATCTGCTGCTCGCATCATTTTTTTTATTCCTTCGTTCTGAACCTTTTTGCTGCTCAACAAATAACTTTGAGCCTCAGTCAGAAAAACTGGAGGGTTTTTATACTTTTGGCCTGAGATGAGGAGGAAACAAATGGTGGATTTATGTGCCCCCCACCACCACCACCACCACCACGCGTTTTTTTCCTAGCGACACGGCACGCATCAAATCAGACGTCTTTTAAAAAAATTWAATGTGGCGTATACATTTTATCATGTCTTCGGATCTCCTTGGCCTAACAACACGATTTAAAAACTGGTTTAAAGTTCGAAGTCTCTACTTTTCACTCGAGGGTCTCAGAGAGGGCAGATCTTTACAGGTAGCTTTTTTTCTTCCTAAACTTTATTTAGGTCAGACAGCATTGACAACTCTCTACAGGTGACGTAAAGGGCTCCGACATGGGGAAGGACGCATAAATCGTGCGACCCCACAAATCGATAATGAAATTCGTTGCCAATTCTTTTAATAATTGATGTTTATCAATTTTATCAATTTGTTGTTGCAGCCCTAGACACAGATCTCAAGCATTTTAATGATGGAAATGATGGAGCTCGACAAGCAGCCGTTCACCCTCACTAGTGTTAGTGCATTATCTGTTTTGAACTTGTGGAATGACTTTTTCTCTTTTGTTTAAATCTGAGATCAGTGTTAAAGGTCTTTTTCATAATTAATGTGCCTTATTTAAAAATGGCCATTTGGGAAATTGTTTTGTTTGATATATATTTTAAAAAATATTAGTTAAGAGTTTTTTTCAAATAATATAATTTACATTGTCATTTGGTTTTGGTCTTGTTTATTTATGTTATGATCTTACCCATTTTTGACTAGTCTTATCTCCTGGCATGTTATCAGTATTGGTTCTTAATCGGTTTGGGGTGGGGTAATACCAAGGTGTGAATTAAAGGGGCAATATCATGTAAAATCAACTTTTTTGAGTTTTATATCATGTTATAATGTTATACTC